ATGGAAGGCATCTTTTCCAGCAAATTTCGCCATATACTTGTTGCAAGCAATTCGGGCAGCTTCAAGTGCCTCACTGGAGACATTTTCCTTCTCCCAAGACACCAAATGCACACAGAAGGGGAATTCATCCACACCTTTCTTCTTCATTCCAACATCATAAATCCTGATCTTTGGGTCAGGAACACCACGGCAATAGCGCGATTTTGGGTAAGGCTTGTTTTTGATCTGACGATAACACCTTGCTGGTCCTGCAAACCGCAAAATGATAAAGTTAAGTGCAAACCAAGTCAAGTGCAATAAAATCTATTGGGTGACAAGTTACTCAACATGGGATTTGAACAAACCACAAGAAAGGGTAGACTCAAAATCTTTGAGCACAAAATCAGATATTCTAACATCAATGATTGAACCAGAGACAATAACCCGAAATGTAAGAATTTTATAAACCACGGAAGCTGATAAAACACAGAAGAAGACACATAACAAGGTTAATCTCTGGACTTGGTTTCTTTCCTCTTCCTCACAAACTAATATCAATAATAAATCAAAAGATATAACAAGATCAAAGATGAATTTTTTTTTTTTGGGTTAAAAAAAAAACACTAATCAAGATAAAATAATAATAAATGAAATAAGAGGAGATAAATCATATAAGCTGGAAGAATAAACCACCATACAATCATTCACACACAAACAATAGAAATCAGTTTAAAAGAAAACAAAATTAAATCGCAAAGATCGATCTGACATTGTCGACGATAATTTCCTATAAAATTTCAGAAACAATATGAATACATACAGACAATTCTAGATGAAACTTACTTCGACCCATAGCTATCCGTGCAGATATCAGCGGCCAGAAACCTAAAGAAAATAAGGAGAAGGAAAAACCATGCCTTCTGCTTATTATATATAGCTACGTTGGAAACCCTACCAGACCTGCTGACACATGCGTTTGGGCCATCCTACGTGTGTGTGTATGTGCTGGTGTCAATTCATCTTTACTTAACGGGCCTAATATTTACCTTTACTTGTTCGGCCCGGTCCATGGTTCTGCTCAGACCCACCCCTTTTA